CAGTAATTCTTGTACTCTGGGAATGAAAAATAACTAGGTATAACATTCTAACAGAATTTAGGCTTACTTTTATGTTGAATGCATTTTGAAGTACAGCAGCTGATGAAGCAAACACTTGATAATTGTTTGGAGTGATCTTTAAAGATCATGAAATTTATATGAGGTTCTTGAAAGCCCTTTTGTTAAATTATTGTACTCACCTTTTCCTTCATTTTGATATTATTCAATGTACTCATAATTGGAATGAGACTGAAATGTTGCCATTCATCATAAACAAGTTGCCCTGAAAATGCCATTTTAAATTAAAATAAAATTTGGTGTTAACATTGGTATTAATAAAGAAAGTATAGGCCAGCCAGATAGCTCAGCGGACTAAAGGCAGAGTACAGTGGGGGGGGTTCAATCCCAGGCCTGCCGTGCTGGCCCCACCCCTGGGGTGCACTGAGACAGCAATTGAGACTGGGTGTGGTGGCGCATGCCTGGAATCCCAGCTCTTGGGAGGCTGAGGATCACTACAAGTCCGATCTATATAGTGAGACCCTGTAGACCCTCTAGACCCTGTACTAAATACATAAAAAAATAAAATAAAATAAAGGAAGTACAGTTATATGTAGTTGGAAAAAAAAGAAAAAAGAAAAACCCCAACAGAGGAAATGTGGCTCGGACTGAATTTGCATCCAAGTGGCTAAGAGCTTAATGAGTTGGATTGTTTCACACTTAGCCCTTGGGGGCACTTGAACACATCACAAACTGCTGTACTCTTGGCTCAAATGTCAACGTCCACTTGTAAAACATTTGGACCAGAAAACAAAGCACTTCAGATCGAGGATCTGAGTGGTGTTCTTGCTTTCTGTTTGCTGGCTCCGGAGCTTGGCTCCAGAAGTTCTCCTCAGGCTCATTAGTCTGCCTTCGTACAACGAAAAGATTAGGTGATCATCTATCAAGTGACAGCTTATTGCAGCCTTTTGCCAATCCTGAAGGCAACTGCATTGCTAGCCAACAATAGAGCCCCATAGCTGTTTATGTTTCTAATTGTCCAAAGGCTGGATTTGTCCTGCGGTTTGGAGTGTGGGAAGCTTTTACTTTCCTAGGGTGACTTAAGAGATGCATTAAGAATGTAAAGAAAAGAATATAAATTTTAGTCATTAAAATGTCCAGTTTTCCAAGTTTATAAAAATTCCCCTTTGGTTATCAAAATTGTTCCTTCAAATATCACCTATAACCAAGTGACTATTAAAATCCTGATTTAACATATCTGAGGTTATATGATCAATTAACATAATGTTATAGTTTTTTAAAATGTATCAGTAGATCTATAAAAATTTAATTCACATGTACATGCAGAATTAACACAATCTATACACAAATCACTAGGTCATTAACTATATCATTCGCATAATCCATTAAACATTTATGACACCAGCATAAAGTTCTCTGGGCTCTACATTTCCAAATACTTGCCTTCATTTTAATTCCTCAGTGAAATCTTAGACTCAACATGCCTACAACCATACTCATGACTTTCCTGGCAATCTTGGATTTCCCGTGACTGTCTTTTGCTTAGAATGCCAGCTACTTGGGAGTCTCCCCTCGTTGCCTGCCTTTCTCCTTTACTCCGTCAGTTACAGAGAGAAGGACTTGGTTCTGGGTTGCCTGCCCTTACTCTAATCTGTAATCTCTTGCTTCCTGATATGGGCTGGGAAGTGTCAGCCTCATCTTTACTTCTCAATTTCATTCTCATGGGTGCCCATGTAGCCTCTTAATAGTACAAATCTGATCATTCTATAGTTTTTTATGGCTTCCTATGCTTATGATACCAATCGAAATGCTAATGACTTTGTTAATCTGAACTGCTGTAATAGGTTAATTAGAAAGAATGATAATTTCTTTCTCAGGGCCCTGAGGCTGAGAAGTTCAGAAGTAGAACATTGTCTGATTAAGGCCTGATCTCTCTGCATCCAGAATGGTGCCTTCAGCACTGTGTGCTTGAGAGGAAGGATGCATTCATCACCTTCCCTGGACACAGTACCCAGTGTTCACAACCTAGAGGAGGAACGGTTTCATGTGGCTCAGAGTTAAGGAATCTACTTCATGGTCAGCTGTCTCCAAGTGGGTAGCATCGTGGCAGAAGGGAATGGTGGAACAGAGCACTCAATTCATATTAGCAAGGAAGACTAGGGGAACAGTGCCAGGGAGGAAATGGTGCCTGTGTATAGTGTCAAGGTCGTGCCTCCATGACCCAACCAGACAGACTCACACAAGAACCTGCTTTCCTAATCTGCTAAATGTTTCTCTTAATCCAGTCAAGTTGACATATTAGGATGAACAGTCATAGTCTACTCCTTGTCAACTTCACACCCACGTGTCCTGAAGTCATACTTACTCTCCAAATAAAAGCAATAGCAAGTTTCTAATTCCATCTGAAATAATACAGCTTTTCTATTTATAATGGGAAACAGAGTGATCCCATCTCCAAAGTCTTAGCAGTTCCAGAATTTTTCAATTAAGTCCAAGTTTCTTCTCAGACTCGAGACAAAATCTTTTCTGTGAATCTCTGTTTAAAAAAAAAAAAAAATCAAGGTACATAATCCTAAAGTAAAATGGTACAGAGTAAACGTTCTTATTCCATAGGGAGGAGTATGGGGCTAGAAAAGAATTGAACTGAAGCAAGACCAAATCCTGGGAGGGCAAACATTAAATCCCGTAGCTCCATATCTGGCATCCAGGGCACATGGTAGTAAAAGGCAAGTTCCAGAGGGCTTGGGAACTTTTACCCTGACTTGGTTGGCTGTAGCCCGTAGAGACTCTTGGGCTGGCGCCACTCATAGCCTGCGGCTTTCTTTGGCAGACATTTCATGTTTATATCATCCCTGACTTCTTGGGGTCTCTACTACACCTTTAATTTCATTCCAGCAGCTTCGTGCACTGCCCTCTGAGGAGCTCCTTTCCCAGCCTTCTAGGCCTTCCTTTGAAATCTGAGGGACAGCCTCCATACCCCACAACTCTTGGATTCTCTGTGTATAAGCAAGACTATGTGGATACTGCCAAGGTTTATTAACGGTAGAAGTGGCCAGGCGCCCTTCGACCATGGCTACAGCAGCCTCTGAGTGTGAGCGGCGGACTATGGTTAAATGCATCCCAGAGAAACAGTTCACTAGGTGGCTCTTCCTGAGCAGGGGCCCAGGGGCTCTCTTCCCAAAAGAAAGGTTGACACTTTTGCACACTTGAGTCTGCAGTGCGTAGAATCTTGCTAATTCCCAAAATGACCTCAAAGCATCTATTTCCTTTTTTCTCTACAAAGTACTTCATTTCTTTTTAAAGGTGCTATTTCCTGTAGCAGCTATACCTGTTTTGGTCCCAGCTGCACACGTGGTTCCCTCTAGGTAGAAATTTGGATTTTTCAGTCTTCTGCTCTGTTTTTGCTCCAATTCTCACTATCAGTCTTACTGAAAGCAGCTAGCTGTACCCATCCCGTGGTCTTAGTGTTGGAGTGTCTTCAAGTTCCTGCACCAGGCTGATTAGTCTACTTCCCTCAGTCTCAGTCTCTTGCAAAGTCACTGGACCTGGGCACAATGTAGACAGCCTTTCTTGCCAGAGTATAACATGAGTAATCAGAGTCCTTGTTCCTTACTGAAACCGCCCGAGCCTGGCCTTTTCTTTCTACATTACTATATGCATTCTGATTCCCAAACTGGCTAGAATCACCCATTTAGCTCTATTTTTCACATTCTAACTCTTCTTTAGCCCACATCTCTAAACCTTCCCAAAAGGTTAATCCTTTTGGGAAGGTTCCCAAAATCCTCCCGCAAACTGGTTCCAAACCACATGGTCAGGTATACTCAGAGCAATGGCTCCAATCCTACCACAAACTTCGATATCAGCCCCTACTGCTGGACACAGTACCCAGCACTCACAGCTTTCAGGAGGAAAGGCTCATTTGTCTTGCTGTTTGCAAGGTCAGTCCATAGTTGGCTGGCTCTAAGCAGGACAGTTGCTCAGTTCATGCCAGCCAGGAAGCAGAACAAAGAGACAGTGCCAGAGAGGAAGGCGTGAGGTTGCAGCTCCATGTTCTATCCAGGGACATGCAGGAATGCGTTTTGCTGATCTGCTAGGCGTTTCTTACCTTGGTGAAGTTGACAAGTCAGGATTAATGGTCACAGGAAGAATGCTGTGTCCTCAAGGTAGAAGAGCAGAAAAGAGAGGACCCTTGTCACAGACCTTTTTTAAAAGTGGTATTAAATTCACTTATGGGAGTACAGTCTTTATTCCTCTGGACCTGACTTTGGGCTCACCTCATGAGAAGGTTGCCTTGGGTGCTAAGTTGCTAACATACGAATTTTACGACCTGCATTCATATCATACAGCCAGTGTAGATTCTAAAGCCCTTGTGGCATAAGCCTCTGGCTTTCTCTGACCATCTTGTGCTTTAGGCCTATAATGTGTTGATTGTACTGCCTACCAATCATACTATAAGCTCTGCTTTCAGTCCGTAGGCACTTGTGGGCTTAGTAGCTTAGTCATATGTAGCCATATACCAGCTGCATAAAATTAAAAAAAAAAATGTTTAGTAAGCTTTCCATTGCTAGAACAAAATGTTTGACAGTATTAACCTATAAAGAGAAAAGGTTTATTTTAGCTCATGGTTTTGGAAGTGCAGCTTTATGATAGGGCGCTGGTGCATTGCTTTTAGGCCTTTGGTGGGGCGTCAGATGCCATGGTGAGGAGCGTGTTACAGAGCAGAGTGCTCGCCTCATAGCCAAGGAACAAAAGAGAGAGAATCAGAGGTCAAAGTTCTGCAGCTTCTTCCCCACGGCCTTCACACAAGACCCTATGTCTTACGGCTTCTACTACTTGCTAATGGTGCGACCCTGAAGACCCAGTCTTTTAACACATGAATCTTAGGGAGACATTCAGCATTCAGACTATAGCACGAGTACTCTGACCTTGCCCAGATTCTCGCCCACGGGAAGCATGTAATGTGACCCTTTGTCCTTTTGCAGCTTCCTCTGTTGTGTCGGATTCAAACAGGACATATCCCTTTGGACAGCGGAGTTGCAGTTTCTGGGGGAGAAGCTCCTTTGCTTTGCATAATTATCAGTCAAGAATATTTATAAAATTGTAATTTGCCTTAAGACAATGATTTTTAAAGTATGTTTTCTTTTTCTCTTTCTTTGTTGACAAGGGCATTTTATTAGAAACTCACATTTTTATTTTACCACTCAAAGTCTAGAGAAAGACCTATCTCCTGTTGTACCAAAGTTACTCCTCTCGGGGCTGGAGAGATGGCTCAGTGGTCTAAAGCACCTACTTGAAACAAGCTTGGCAAAGCACAGGGACCGGGGTTCGATCCCCAGCACCACATGCCAGCCAGACCCGCCCCCTGGTGGGCTGAGCTGGCCACACACACACACAATAAATAAATGTAATAAATAAAAATAAATAAATATTTAAAAAAAAATTTAAAAAAAAAAACAAAGTTACTCCTCTCACTAACACAAATTAATATTTACCTTACATATAATGCTTTTAATTTTTTTAGATATCAGTAATAGTGGATATATGTTAATCACATTTCTGTCTCTGGAATAAAATATCCCAGATAATTATCTATAGGGAGAAAAGTTTTACGTGAAAGTCACATGAAATTTAAAAATTTGTTTTGCTTTTAGGTATCTGGTCACTCTGGATATTTATCTGCTCTTTCCTAAATAAATCTAATTCACGAAATGCAATGAAGCTGAAGGATCATCGACATCTTTGTCTGTGAGTGTGAGATGACTGGGATGGTCTCAGGTGCACGCCTCTAGACTACCCTGCAGCCATGAGTTCAGACGAGAAGGGCATATCCCCTGCCCATAAAATCCCAGCCACTCCATCCCATCGAAGTGCCTCCTCTTCAACATCATCCCAGAGGGACAGTAGGCAGGTAAGAGAAGGCTGTAAAGTATAAATGTTGTCTTATGCAAATGTTGTACTGTGAAGATAGGATATAATTACTAATTAATTACTAATTAATTTTGAAATTATGTTGGAAACTCTTTCTTCTTTCTTTCTTTCTTTCTTTCTTTCTTTCTTTCTTTCTTTCTTT